CATTGAAACCAGTAATTGTCCCCTGTCCCCTGTCCATGCTAGCACGGATCACCACCAGTACAGAAACATTCAGGTCACAGTCCAGGCTTTTCATCTCAGAAGTAACAGGAAGAAGCAGTCAAGGTCAAACTTGGTACTGCAGGTTCTCTTATAAGATGATGTTTACAGATGAGCCTAAATACAAAACTGTACATCCAGGTGTAATTGTCATGTGAAGGATTCTGACAAAAGTTATGTCAGATACATACACAAAATCACATACACATGTGGCACACAATTTCAGGGAGTTAGTGAGTTTCTTGTGCTCATCCCTATGGGATTCCTCAGACCCTATGGTTACAGGCCCTTCTTTAAGAAGACATATCTATACAGTGACGCACACATATGTTTATTAGATCAACAAACATTAAGTGCATCAGGCTCTGAGCTATGTTTTGTAGAACCACAGAAGCAAGAATAAATAAGATATGGCTTTTCACAAAGCTTCCCATCCAACAGTTTGTTCAACATTTTCTCTTTAACTGCATACATTCTATAGACACACACACAAATGTATCTATATTAGGTAAATCAATTGAATGTAGGTTTCTTTTTTACTGTTTTAATGTACCGGGTAGCAGTTTTAATGTACTGGGTACATACAATGCATGCATGCATGCATGAACACATGCACATACACATAGACACGATATTTAAACAGTAAAATCTTTGTTTCCTGGATGAGGACCTGTCAATTTGTCTTCAGTTGAATGCGAAGGCCAATAACAAATGCCACACCAATAAATATGTTCAGAATTCCCCAACATTGTGATTGATTGTAACTGAGGTTGCTCTCTTCAGCTTGCCTCCCAAGGCAGAGAGGTAATACAAGAAAGAATAACGTCCTTGTCACTGTTGTAGACTACATTACATTCGGATTTCAGAGCACAGCTGGCAAGAAACATCTACACCACTCACAGACCCTGGTAGAACAAAAGCTTTCCAGAGCTCACCTCCCCTGAAATACGGAGACTTCAGTTGAAACAGAAATTAATTATAAAATGTAATCTAGGGAGATTTGAAATGAAACTAAAACTAAACTTTGAATAACAAGCCCAGATAAGCATTTACAACCCACCCCATGGGGATAAGCCAAAAAAGCTAGAAAAGGATTTCTCCTGTGTCAAATGTGTCAGCACCTTGACTACAAAATTACTAAACCCATGAAAATTAGAAAAAAAATTACTTGTTAAAAGTCAAAAATAGGGCCGGCCCCGTGGCTTAGCGGTTAAGTGCGCGCGCTCCGCTGCTGGCAGCCCAGGTTCGGATCCTGGGCGCGCACCGCTGCATCGCTTCTCTGGCCATGCTGGGGCCGCGTTCCACATACAGCAGCTAGAAGGATGTGCAGCTATGACATACAACTATCTACTGGGGCTTTGGGGGAAAAAATAAATAAATAAAACTTATAAAAATAAAAGTCAAAAATAATATATTATTTTGGCTTATACCCTAGAAATGTATGACCTAGAATATAAATAATGGGTTCCATAATCTTAAATATTGTACTAAATAATAATGAAGGGATGGAGAAACAACAGGGATCTCAATCAGGGAATGGGGAGAGAGATAACACGTAGATATTGGACATCTTGGAGTAACTGATCAGCCTGGAGCCTGATTTTGATAAACACACTCTCAGCTACATCTGCTAATCCCTTGCTACTCTGACCTCTCTGTGCTCTCTGCTTCCCTCCTCCTCCTCTCTGTTTCTTTTACCTGGAGCCATGGGTACTGACTGCCCTGGAGAGAGGAGGACAGGGAGGGAGGGAAGAAGGGAAAGAGAGGCGGAGAGACAGAAAGAGAGAGAGAGAGAATACGATACTGAGAAAATCTCATTTTTTTTACACTTAGCCAGGTCGGGCGTTATGCTTAGATCTTTTATTTCAATTGGTAGGTAATTTTTTTTCTCTGTTTTGTTTTGACAGGGATAACTTTTCAAATTAAATCCCTTTATTGAATTTTCACTGTTGGGTAGTTTCTGAAGATGCTGCCTTTGCAAAAAAGTAAAATAAAATAAATAAAATTAGAACGGATACATTTCACGCCTTGTGAAAGCTGAGCCTGAGATGACAGTCTGGCATTATCAATCTCTATGCATGCAGGGAACACAGGAAGAATGCCCAGTGAAAGGAGACATGCAGCTCAGAGAAAGTGATGGCCTTGGGGTTTTCAGGATAGGGGGTTATGTGCATTAGATGCCACAAGCCAGAGAGCAGCATTATCCCCAAGAGCTTGAAAAGGAAAGCAATCTGGGATGCTAGCAATTCCATCCAGAGCTTTCTAAACAAGGGAGTCATGGGAAATAGACCCCAATGCTCTTTCATTAGTTTTTCATTGTGGGACTCTGTTACTCTAAGCGTGTTCTACAGATCAGCAGCATCGACTTCACCTGGGAGCTTGTTAGGAATGCAGACTCTTGGGCCTCTACTGGATCAGTATCCATGTTTTAACAAGATCTCTAGGTGAGTTGTATGCATGTTAAAGTCTGAGATGTAACGCTCTAAAATTTTCAGACAACTTGGTAAGTGAGGTAGGTAGCCAGCTGGTAGCCCTGACAATTGATCAACTATGCATTCATTCATTCAGTAAATATTTACTAAGTTCCATCTACATGTAGACACTTTGGCATGTTCTAGAGACACAATATTGAACAAAGGTCCTGTACTCATAGAATTTATAGACTGGTGGGGAGGAAAAGTTGTGAGCAAATAATCATATAAATGGAATGCATAATTTCAAACTGAGATGAGTACAATAAAGAAAAAGAATAGAGTTGGATGAGAGTAAACAAAATAAAAGAAACTGGTTTAGATTACGAGTTCAAAAAAGACTTCCTTAAGAAATGGATGATTTCCCTGGTTTTGATACCATTTTATGGTTATATTGGATGTTATCTTTGGGATAATCTGGGTGAAGGGTACAGGGAAACTTTTTTTACTATTTTTTTTGTAACTTTTACGTGAGTCCAAAATTATTTCAAAATTAAAAATTAAAAATACATAGAAATGGATGTTTAACCTGAGATCTGAACCATTAATTACACTGACTTGGTCGAGGAAGGGGGAAGAGAGGAGGGTATTCCAGGCAGAGGAAACAGCAGCTATCAGAGTCTTACCAAGACATAGAACCCTGTATGTTACACGAATTGAAAGCAAGCCCATAGGCCTCCAGGCAAGGAGTGAGGAGAGGACAGAGTGAGAGGAGGCTGAGGAAATGGGCAGGCACCAGATTATGCTGGAGCTAGAAGTCAAGAGGAAAACTTTGCTCTTTATCATCAGAGCAATGGGAAGTAAATCAAAGCCTTAAACAGAAGACATGATTACTTCTGCCTTAGGAAAAGATCACTCTGGCTATTGTGAAGTAAGAACCAGAACTTGGAATCCAAGACAACATAATCAGCTCCAGGGCAATGGAAGGGTCACCACCAGAGAGAGACCACTGAAGAGGTGGGCAAGAAGCTCTAAACTGTTGAGCTCATTCTGTGTCAGGCACAGTGCTGGGCATACGACATATGGCAGCCCTGCCTGAGTTTATAAAGGAGGAAGGTGATGGTCCGCTTGGCCCCTGATCTGTCCCCTGCACTGATCCTGCCAAAGAATACATGCATTCCCCCCAAAGGGAAGCAAAACCTCTGGAGATGAAAAATCTCACAGTGTGTGCATAGTAATGGAGCATGTGTCATTTCTGGAGGGTTTGGATTGCAGGCTTGACTGGCTTCTTCTGGTTGTAAGCTGGTAAAGTACAGGTATCATCTGCCTTTGTGTTTAGAAGAGCTGAGGACAAGTGGACAGGCACAAGTGACCGTGATAATGAAGTTTTTGAAGTGTAAAGGATATTTTCGAAATAGGAAATGTTTCAAAAATTAGATTATCGTTCTCTGGCCCAGTGCTGGACAAACTCTAACAGCCTCATTACTCTGTGGTAACTGTGGACAGGCCATTCTCTTTCTCTCCTCTACACTAGAGACTTTTTTCTTTCCTTTCTTTTCTCCTCTCAGCCCTTTTTCTTCTATACATTTTCCCCTTTTCTTTTTCCTTTATCCCTTTCACCTGGAACACCCCATCTTAGGTCTTCTGGTACCCCCTCAACTGCTTAGGCCTTCTGGAGGACCCTCAGGACCAACGAAGGGGAAGGAAACTTACGTTGTTGTTGTTTAAATATATTACTTAAACTTTCTATGCCTCAGTTTTCTCATCTGTAAATCAGAATAACAACCGACGAGTTGTTTTGAGGACTAATTGTGATAAAATATATAAAGTGCTTAATTCTTGGTACAGGGTAAGTGCTCAGTAAATGTTAGCTGCTGCAGGAATCATTCTTATTGACTTATTTAATTTACAGAAGAAGAGACTAAGAGTTTAAGGCATAAAGAGTTTAAGTAGATTTTTCAAGGTCACACAATTAGTGAGTGGACTTTTGAGTCATTCAGGATTCTGGATCTGCAACTTACTTTCCTGTGTATCATGTACCTAAAGCCACATTCTCCACAAAGTGTAGCCCAGCTCCCTAGGGTTGTTTAGAACTACCAAAGGGCAAACAGCTGACTCAACTGACTTTCCTTCCTATCGCTTATGATGGAGACACACAGGATGAGACTCTTTTCTTCTATGTTTTCCAAGTGCTTTGTGAATCTCCAAGCAAGACAATGAGGTCTTGTCTGGTTGATGTCTGATAAATTAAGGAAACTGGAAAAACAAAACAGCAGCAATAATACAATAACAACAAAGCACTTTAGAAATAAGGCATTTTGGAATTTTCCCATCGCCTGGAAAGAAAAACACCTTGATTGGATGGGAGTTGCTGAAAATTATTGAGACAATTCTGGGTTACCAAAGATAGGAAAAGTCCTCAGGTCCAAATGACTTGGAATATTGCCACTGTGATTTCCCTTAACACAGATGCCATTTATGGCCGTGACACTAATATTACTATGAACATCATGGAAAAGTTGATTTACTTACGACCATCCACAGTTCTGGCCTCTAGATGCACAAGATCTGGTTCCTTGTTCGACCCCATTACAGACCTAAAACATGGAGAAACATGAAAAAAAAATCACCATTAATGACTTCACATGTGCCTTAGAGCGACTCAGTTGAGCCCGCAGACTATTCACGTCCACAGGATTCTAAAACCACAATCCTTGGAATACATCTACTGTATTTATTTATATAGCCTGACAGTAAAATGTCCACTTCAAATAAAAACAATAATGAAACCTTTATTTGATGAAGGTTAGGCTTAACTCTGGCAAGGATATTGTGTGTTATTAGCTCAGACTTGCAAATAAGTTCTGCACATGGTGTATGTGTCCACTTGCAACAATCTCACTGACAGTGCATTAAACTTTCAAGGCTTATCAGGCAGAAGCCAGACAGGCTGATATAGCTGGGTGACTTGAACAGCGATTTACATAGCAAATTGATCTAACAAATATTTTCATTTGAAATTTCCAGAACCTACTACTACCCTATGAACTATGAACAAACCACGTGACCCAACCAATGTGTAGTGAGCAGTACAGCAGAGTAACAATTCTCTGTATCGTTGAACAGTGTGAGGGGAAAATGCAGGTGCACCTCTCTACGGTATGTGCCTAAAACTGCATGTGTAAGTAAAATAAACACCTATTTAAAATGCCTCAGAGGCACATATTATTTAGTGTATCTTGCAGTGAGCCATATTAAATAGAAAATAATTATTCTGTTGCAGAAATAATATGGGCAATCATATTCTATCTCTAAGACTTTTCTACAGCAAGATTAATTAAACTTGGGACCATCTATAAATTTTTTCATCAAGATTTGCAGAATTTGCATTTAATTTGTTCCATTTCTACATGGAAAATAGTCAAATGCCTCAAAACTGGTCCCTCTGCCTGCCCTGAGCCACTCAGCCCAGCCATCAAATCCATGAAAGAAAATGCAGATGTTAAAAACACTTATCACGGGGCGTGCCCAGTGGCATAGTGATTAAGTTCACGCTCTCTGCTTTGAAGGCCTGGGGATTGCAGGTTCGTATCCTGGGTGTGGACCTATGCACCACTTATCAAGCCATGATGTGGCAGGTGTCCTACATATAAGGTAGAGGAAAATGGGCATAGATGTTAGCCCAGGGCCAATCTTCCCCAGCAAAAAGAGGAGGATTGGCAACAGACATTAGCTCAGGGCTAACTTTCCTCACAAAACAAACAAAGAAACAAACAAAAATCCACTCATCACTTTCAGGACTCAGTGTGGTACCCAAGACCCTATGCTGATGGGTCCCATTTTGCTTTTTCTGCCCCATCTCCTGCCACACTGAAAGATTTGCCATTCCCTGAAAGGCAGTGTCCCATTCATTTCCTCAGCCCTCCGTAAGCCTCTGTTTCTGTTTTCAGCTTGAAATGCTCTTCTCCAGCTCTACTTAATTTTCTTTGACTCTTATTTTAAGATACAACTGAAAAGTCACATCTTCCATTAAATATTTCCCAGTTATACCAAGAAAATGATTCTCCTCCTACCAACAAATAATTCTTAATATAAATCCTGTAACAGTTTGTTATAAATAATTATTTTTGTGTCTTTCCCCATGTAAAAGCAGCCACTCCCCCAACATGTGTGTGGGTGCACATGCACACACACACATACACACACAGACACACACACCAAACTGAGAGCTACTGGAGGAGCTTTATTTTAAATACTTTATATATACATATACTTTTTTACATTTCATTTATATTTATATTTATATAAATTATTTATACATATATATATATCGCCCCTAAGCTATAATAGATAGTGAAATGTTGAAGGAAGGAAGGAAGGAAGAGAGGAAGGAAGGAAGGGCATAACCGTCTGTCAACTCTTCGAAATATATAAATTTATCATTGTCTTAAGGGCATTCCCAGAACTCTTCTTATTTAAACTCACTTTCCCAGCTTAAAGAGGGAAGCCTAGCTAAATTAGTCTCTCTTCATCTTAAGAAAAGAAGTCTCCTTAAGTCCCTATTATCGATGTCAGTAAGTTTTCTCTCACTGATACATGGCCTGAAACTCAGAGTCTATGCTTGAAACATTAAACCCTGCTTTCTTCTTCTCCCAGGAGCAGAAATGTCCTAATAAAGCTTTTATAATTTCCCCCAAAAGAGACAGGGGACGTGCACTTGGACATTTCACCTGACTGGAATCTGAAATCAGGCAGATGGTGACACTTTCACCATCATTTCAGCTAAGTACTGTAGCAACTGCTTGTCCAGGGATGGCTGTCCACTTCCCACACTGATGCATTGATTGGATCCACAGGTGACCTCTTCCGACAAGGCCACAGTCATGAGCACTAAAAAAGAAAACAAGCTTCCTGACAACCCTCAAACTAGAAAACTCAGCGGTTAACTGGTTTTTGCAAATTATTACTAGGTAGTTACATGTTGTTCATCTCTCACCTTGCCTGCTGCGAGTTTCTTCCTTGAAATCATGAGCACCTATTACTTGCAGGAGAAGGCTAGCATCCCAGAAACACAATGTCAAAGCTAGCCTGCAAACCCATCTGCTTTGCTTGGGCTTAGTGTCAATAGGAGGCAAAATAATTACCCTCCATCCAGTTGCATCTTTCCATGTGCTCATCGTCCTAAATCAATACCAGCAAAGGCAGGAGCTATTGTTTCAACTGACATTTCCCTCTTATCAACTAACGAAAAGAGACAGAGACAAAACAGTCCTTTATTTCTCCAAAGTCTACTGTGGCTAATCAACTCCCTTACCCTGCCTAAAGTTTTTTCCATCTACAGTAAAACAACTGAAACAACAACAAAATAAAACTTGAAAGTCAAACCACAGTGTTTGCAACCATTTTTATTTGCTGATGTGCTCACCCCTTTTCCTAGTGGTCCAGGAGTACCTCTAGATCTGCAGGCACAGATTATAAAGAACTATTGCTGCTTTTACTTTGTGGCACTGGTGAATTCTCAAGAGCTGAAGCCAAACAATGCTAAATGTCTGCAGAGGTGCTGGCTTTAACGGTCCTGTCATTGACCAGACGCCAGGAAGAATCACACTGCTGCAGCTCACCCACAAAGTACCATTCTCTAGCCCATTTATACATTGTAGTTGGAACTGTGGAGTCTGGTGGTTTTCTGTGTTTCAAGACAAAGTGTTGTGCCTGATGATGATGATGATGATAGGTGGTTGTCAGGGGCTGGGGGGAGTGGGAAATGAGAAGAGGATGGTAAAAGGGTATAAACTTTCAGTTATAAGATGAATAAAGTCTGAGTATCTAACGTATAGCATGGTGATTATAGTTGATAACACTCTTTTGTATAATCGCAATTCGCTAAGAGAGGAGAACTAAGTGTTCTCACATAGACAAAAAAGCAAATATGTGAAGTGATGGATGAGTTAACTCGACTGTGGAAATCCTTTCACAACGTATGTTTATCAAATCGTCATGATGTATACTTTAAATATATTACAATTCTATTTGTCAATTATACCTCAATAAAGCTCAAAAAATAAAAAAAATCAGAAAAACCCAGCATAAACACAAAATTTAATCCAAAATATCCTCTTGATGATCTTATTTTCAGAGTGAGATCTCAAGAATGACTTCAAGTATCCCTATTCAATCATGTTAGTAAGTCTGACTTCTGGTACTAAGCAGAAACGGTTGGGCACCTTTGCTTTATGCTTCTAAATTGCCCTGTACACATCCCTGTCATGGTTCAGAATGGTCTGCTGGACCTCTTTGCATAAGTGCCTCTTTTACTTCACTGAGCCCCCAAAAGGCAGGTGCTCTGTTTTTTTATCACTGAATTCTCTGTGCTTACCAGAGCAGAGAGAAGAATGTTTCCTCAGTAAATTTATAGAGAACATTTTTACACTGACCATTATTTACTATAATATCCAATATATTGGGTTATTCAATTCCAGGTCTCAGAAAGAACCTTTCTATGAATATGAGATAAAAAATTTTGGTTTAGGATCCTTTAGTTATATAAAAAGGTAATAGGTGGTTGTATCTTGTATATCTTTATATTGCCTTTACGTCTAATTGGGAAAATGAATTCCCTTCTTAAATTTAATTTCAAGGAAGGGAAGGGAAGTCTTCACGACTTTGCACACACAGTCATGCGCTGCATAATGACATTTTGGTCAACAACGGACCACATATATGACAGTGGTCCCATAAGATTAGTACCATATAGCCTAGGTGTGTAGTAGGCTATACCGTCTCGCTTTGTGTAAGTACACTCAATGATATTCACACAATGACTAAATGGCCTAACAACGTGTTTCTCAGAACGTATCCTCATTGTTAAGTGACACATGACTGTACTGGTGTCTCTGCCTGGAATTCCCTTTTACTCTTCTTCTGCCTTCTTAACTCTTATGGTCTGTGGCTCAGCCGAAGATGACTGAAGTTGAAAATAGGCTTCCCAGTGGGGGTGCCACTTAAGTTGGTTATACCTTCTGAGACTTCCAGAACCATGCACATACTTTTGCATAGCACAAATTAGGCCATGTTTCAATTGGTGACTCATTTATCTATCCCTTGCATTGACAGACAAGCTCAGCCTTTCTGTGTTTCCATGCCAAGTACCATGCGTGTCATGTATAGATATTCAATAAATGTTTACTGAACACTTTTGGATAAAAGAGAAGAGCACGATCAGCCACATCAGCATTTATCAATTTATCTGGATGGATGACATTTGGCAAGTTACTTAATATCTCTGTGCTTTAATTTTTTTAATGTATAAAATGAGGCTAAAATAAGTTTTCCTAGAATATACATCTTAAAGCACCTAGTAGATTCCTGGCACAAAGAAAGGGCTCAGAAAGGCAGCTGATTTCTTTCTTCTCTTCTTTCCCTTTCTTATTTCAGGATATAGGTAGGAAATATTAATACTCATCTGAAATTAAAATTAATGTTGGTAATAAAAGCTTCTTGGGATATCACGGGTACCGCATTAGCAGAAATGATCTATCATTATAAATCAATAGACAAAAGAAAGAATCAATCACCTAGAGATCAACTATATGAATAA